TAGATCTAGATACATAACCACCACTTTTCAGAAAAGTAATTAATCAATCAGCATGTTATCGGTTAATACTTTGATCGATGTTTGTTTTTTATGACTCAGCTGATAATTCCTCTTGTTGCACTTCAGTGCGCATATTACATAACATGTAATACATTTGCCACATCGGACCTTAATTTATAATGATGAGTATTTACTCCAGACACGAGAAATGCCAAATGGGAACATTTGTCGGGTAATCTGAGTGGTGTTGCCACTAATTATACCTGTTATAAATTCATAAACTGACCATCAACTGTATGATGACCAATAACATATGTGTAGGTTTACCACCAAACAAGGGTTACTACAAGGGAGTAGTAATCGCTGAATTGCGTGCAATTTTAATTGTCTGATAAAACTTATGGTCCGACACTGTTTTGAGGATAAGAACGGAACATCTTTGCTGCATCAGAAATACATATAAGCATTTGCTGTGTACCTAAGTTAAAAATTAGATATACCTATTTACCTAAGTAAAATTTCGGAGTTTTTTAGCAATGGCAAAGTGGGCTTGTTTAGTTTATGGATTCAAATAAATCAAATGTATGTTTATATTTTCATAGGTAATAGACATCATATTTTCACATGACATGATTAAATATCGAGTTAAAATACACAGAAATAGGATCAAAGTGGATCAGACATTATACCATCCAGGCATTACAAAATCCGAAAACCCTACATTGCTGAGAAACTTTTTTACAATCAGACAAGAACTACCGGTAATATTTTCAAATAACGGCATCTGATGGGCATCCATCCTTCCTAATGTCCCGCTGTTTAGGTTGGAGAAATTCTGCCAAGGTGGACAGTAGCCGAGTCCCCTCGTCCGTCACGGTCGAGGAAGCAGGTAATGACGAACTTGCAGCTACGTCTCATAATTACACTGTTGGCGAGAAACAGTTGGCCCGGGATCAGTGCCCCTTTAAATTATTTTTACAGTATTTTACTGAATAACAGTATTCTACTTAATCGAACCCTGCATCTGACTCTGTTGTTTTTAATCCTCATTATAACAAAAGTCTGCAGTTCATCATTTTCATATTCTCTCTCGAGTCTTATGACTTGTGAAACATGTACATGTACTATACGTGTAACTGTACCGCGATTGCCAGACCAGTTTCAATGTCAAGAAACACTTGCTGCAGATGTGATATGTTAAATATTGCATAGACTGCAAAGTACAGACCCCCTGTAAGACATGAAAGGGCATGATCTCTAACTGCCACACGTATCTAGTGAGTGAGTGAGTTATGATTTTAAGTCACATCCCCCATATCGTGACTAAAAACAAGTTATAATTTCATAATAAAGAAAGGTAAATTATAAAACCCTGTCAACGAAGGACAGTAAAATAACTAGTTTCAATTTAAAACTAGTTAATGAACTCTAAAATATTTTAACTATATATGACAATACAATATAAAAACAGGCTATACAACAGCTGAAGGTAAATCCACATACTAGGGACCATGGGGACTTACAGTACATTTGCTTCCTGCATGGACCCTAGCTGGATTTACAACATCCCTTCAGCCATTAGCAATTTCAGATAATCTAGCCACAAATTAAAAGAACATATGTATTACGATTAAAAATAATAGGTGTAAATTTACCTTGAATGCTTTGGGACTTACGTACCCTCTCAGGAGGACACATATCTAGTGATATATTCTTCGGTTTTATTTCAATAACAACGCATCCGTTGGCTGACTTCAGCAGCTGTTGCCAGGTGGTGAAAGACTTTCAGTGTGAACAACAGAGAGAAATAGAGATTACTAAACGAGTGTCTGTAAGATATCATTTATCTTACGAGTTGATTCAACGTTTTGAAACAACGAGTTGTAAGATAAATGGTATCTGACAAACACGAGTTCAGTAATCTGTTTCTTACACACCATAAAATTGCACCATATTATGGTCGAATAGATTCAAATGTCATAATTTCTCATCGTAGCTGCGCAATAATACACAACACAACGTTTATGAATGAGTGACGTCACTTGCTTCCTAATCACATTTCATCCTCATGGTGACCCTCCACAAAGAAGTTTCTGCCATATTTTCTCGTCATTAAGCCAATAGTGATAATGCAAACTAGATAAGATTACAGAAAATTAATGTAACACTCTAAAACGATTATGTTTTATTGTCATGCGTCGGAGGAGTATCGTAAGCAATGACGTATATGTAGATCAACCGTTCCTGTACATGTTCGATTGAAAAGGACGTGTGTCGCCATTTTCACTCATGAGCCCTTGCAAACGTTCCATGTTGTACATTGTTTCAACGAGTGTGTTTTGGTTCTGATTGTCATGGGTGAGTTTGATAACATTGAAATCTCATAGTAGCTCGGAGCTGGACGTGGATCTTCATCGAAAGAATCATCATGTTCATTAGTGAATAATGTTATCTTCATCAATTTATCAAAGAAACCACGGGGCAAATCGATCTCACAATGGACAGGCACTGACGTTGTAGTGTCAGGTATTTTTGCAAAACGACACTTGTCGCATCTCTCAAGTAAAAGTACCAATGTTGTACATTTTGAATATTCGAAGGGAATCCCGACCTTTATCTCTAACGGCGATTTTCACATAATTGTTTGTGCAGGTATCACTGATTGTTCGAGCCATTTTGAATTCATGACTAGAATCAAAAGTTTTAATAAAAGGAATTAGAAAATAACTAGATTCGTGTTGTATTTATTCTAATTGTGTTTCATTGTATAAATACCTGTTTATGTTGCATTTGGGGGAAAATAACAGGTAGGTGTTTGGTGTTTGGCACGAGTTACGAGCAGCAGGTTCCGTTCGATTGAAGCACGAGTAACTTATCAATGAATTTTAATGAGGAAAGTAGTCAGTCATGATCTGACCCTAGGTCATCACCATGGAGTAGTCAATCACGGGATTAGAAATCGATCTGGAATATTGCTGAGTGCGGCGTAAAACTAAACTCACTCACTCACCCTACCGGTAGCACCTACCAATCTCATAAAAGTACACATTTACAGCTTACCAATACACAGCAGAGCAGACAATTAAGTGATGGATGGACGAGTTATATATTTTGAATCATGCCCATTGTTTCGAAGTACTGCGACACAGAGATTTCCTGTCCATTAATCCTGAGTTAATGTCAAGTGGACATGTGGTTTCAAGCAAGAGTTAATTATGATCAAGTGTACAAATAATACCATCTTTACAGTGAATTCCATATTTAGATAAAACATGTTCAACAAAGAACATACATATAACTAGGCGATTCGCACATATTTCAGCTGTCATGGCAATACTGATATATTCTATCAGCTGTTATTTTGATTTATCTCCATACAAAAACAGATATCACCTGCGTCAGCGAAGTATTTCCATTTAATCACACTTCACATGAAATTAACATGGATGTAAGAAAGACGCAAGCAAACAGTGTATTTGTAAATACCATGTGCAAGAGGATGTAAACAATTATATGGCACACTTGCAGAGCAACCTCCTCGGCTCATTGGCCAATCTGGTAGAATAAATAATTCTTTATTTTTTTCTGCTCGAGTATATCATCCGGGTATCCATGGTGCCGCAAGCTGGACATCCACTTATTATTAGCACTGTCTTTATGATACTCCGTGGTGGGTGGGGAGCTCGGATTATGAGTGAGTGAGTTAATATTAATCGTGACATCGGCAAGATTTCAGCTATATTGTGACGAGAATAATATATAATTATATCAAAGATCAATAAAGTTAGAAATTAAAATCCTGTTGACGAAGAACAGTCAAGCTACTAGTGTATCACTGATATTCATTTAAAACTTGTAATTAAATCTAAAATATTTCAACTATGATGACAATACAATATAAAAACAGGCTATAGATTGCCAACAACTGAAGGTAGATCACCATACTAGGGACCATAGGGACTTGCAGTACATTTGCTTCTTGCATGGGCCGTAGCTGGATTTACGTCTCGGATGATGAACCATTATATAAACAACCATGCAGGGTTGGTTTCTGGCACTCCAAGGGTATGCAACTCTGCCAAGCGATGTCATCGTTTTAAATATCATAATGATAACAGTCCTTTTGTATGGCGTTTTCCCAAGAAGAATATCACGTTCAAAAGACATTCTCGATGTGACGTCATTCGATTCATTAACGTTCCGTGACGTCGTGTACAAAATTGACGGGGAATATATCGATATCTTGCCCGGGGCCAGATATGACCATGCCGATCCGGCCCATATCGGGGTGGCAAGAAAAGTCCATATCAGGGAGAATATCTCTGTATTAAGTGATAATTTGGTTTACATGACATCTGTAGTAGAAGCGAACATCATGATGTGAAGAGTGAGTGAGTGAGTATGGTTTTACGCCGCTTTTAGCGATACTCCAGCAATATCACGGCGCAAGACACCAGATATGTGCTTCACACATTGTACCCATGTGAGCAATCGAACCATGGTCTTCAGCGTGACGAGCGGACGCTATAACCATTAGGCTACCCCACCGCCCCCATGATATAAAGAATGTGCCGCTTATCCGTACATACATTGTGCCATTTAACAGTTCGAAAGAGATAACGTCATATAACTTGTTTTGTGAAGAAAAGATTTAAAGTCAGGGCCCCGTTCCTCAAAGCGATCGTAGCGCTACGACAGTCGTAACTCCCATACTTTAACATAGACTTACGACTGTCGTAGCGCTACGATCGCTTTGAGGAACGGGGCCCAGGTGTAGTATGAATGCACTTGCACTGTGACGGTTCAATAAGTTATCTATGAATAGCTAAGAAATAACTTCAAATAAACTATTTTCATACGTCAATACAATGTTTATTCATATAATGCATCAGTATCGTGTATATCAAACAAGTATAACAACAGCATATATACAAACTGTGTGAGAACACGGAATTTGACAAAATAATCGTTTCAAATCACATTCTCAAACAAACACAAGTTCAGTCCCGCTTTGTCTTTGAAAAGAGTTTCTTGATGGAAACAATTCTTCCTTTCAGACCAGAAAGATTTTCTTTTCTATCAATTGGAGAAACATATTTGTGATGCCTCCTCATGATCTGTTCAAGCACTGGCAGGACACTGGTGTCCTTCTCCGCCGAGATCTCCACATGTCCATTTTCCCACTCGCAGCTGATGTTCAGATCTCGGTACACTCTTTCTGTCTTGTCTACAGAGTCAGCAATGTCTGTCTTGTTGGCCACAAACACAATTGGGACTTTGGGTCCTCTTAACCTGATGATCTGCTCCCTGGCTGCTACGGCGGACTCGAAGGATTCATCACACACCAACGAATAGACCAACACGTAGACGTCACAGGAAGGAGGCCTCTGCATGAAGGAGAGACACTTTTTAGTTGGTGTGTCCACGATGTCGACTATCACATCCCGCCCCTGGATTCCAAGAGCATCAGCACCTGTTTTACCCTTCTGCTTAGAACAGCTGGTCAGCTCAGTCCAGTGTTTGAAAAGCCTTGCAACGATGGTTGACTTGCCAACTCGGCTATCTCCAATAACAGCCAAGCGCAGTGTCTCATCTTCTCCTGAGCTGATACTGACTTCTGAATGAAATGTAACTTGGCGACTCATGATGAGATGTTGATGAATGGATGGTCTTCTAGTGTGTGTTAGTTCAACAGACGCTCAACCCTGACAGAAGGAACCAGAAACTCCTCCTTATATACTGTAGGCACATAAGCGTGATGATAGCAAAACCATGTCGACAGTTCTAACACAAGTGGTTCATCCCTGACAATGTATTTTAATGGTCTCCACTGTGTTTTTCACATTGGCCAAACACAAGGTGTGAGCAACATGATGTGACATGCAGAACTGCCATACACGAATAGCTAATGACTGACTCATTCAAATGACCTTAAAACAACAAGTATTGACGATAGAAAATGTATAACTCCTCTTAAGATAAGGGCAACCTTAAAGAGCAACCTCCTCGTGGTGGGTAATGCTCATAGCTCTTTCCCCCGTGTGGACCCGGGGTCATATAGGTCAACAGCACCCCATTTCTAGTCGTTAGACCGAATTGGGCAGCCTGTTTGCCGTGGGTTGCGCCCCTGTGTCGGTGGAAAAAAGGGATTCTGGTGCTGAGGGCAACAGGAGCCTGGAGCCGTGTTAGTTTTGTCCAACACACCACTTCGGCCCTTACTTCTTCACCTGGACGGGTGGTAGAAATTGGCCCGATTCTATCAATCGGCTCGTCACGCCGTGCCCTGTGCATAGAATTACTTTTGCACATTTATCTTATAGGGTATTGGCCAATTTCTATTTACAGTAAACACATTATTGTTACATTAAATTGCCTTGGGTCCTATGCCAGAAGGCGGTGACTCATGGGCCAATCTGGTGATGTTGACCATTTAGCAATGGGGTGCTGTGGACTTATTTGACCCAGGGTCCACACGAGGGCGAAGATCTATTTGCGTTACCCAGCGCCCACCACAAGGAGGTTGCTCTTCACGGGTGCCTTCGATTGAGTTTGAAGGTCGTTGGTTACCATCCTCATTGTCAAGCCTACGTTTGTTTCCTTTAAAGGGGGTTTTGTGATCCATAGTTAGTGTAAAATGGTTCATCATCCGAGCTTCCTACCTACCACAGAGTATCATGAAGACAATGCAAATAACAAGTGGGCCTCCGACCAAGTTCAGTGAAGTAATTTGATCAATACCTTAAACAGGATCATTTAGAGAAATCAAATTAGTGCAATGTGAAATAGAATGCACCGGGCATGGCATGACCAGCCGATTGTTTTAACCGAGTCCATTCTATAACCCGCTCAGTTGAAGTAAGGGTTGAAGTGGTCTATTGAGCAAAGGAAGGATGTACTTGGAACCAATGCCCTCAACCGCAAGATTCCCGTCCTCCACCGACACTGGGGCGCAACACGCGGCAAACAGGTTGCTCAATTCGGTCGCCTTTTACGACCAGCAATTGGCCGCTGAGGACATATTCTGCCCTGGGTCCATACGCAGGAAGAACTATAAGCATTACCCAGCACTCAGTCGTATGCCAGAAGGCGGTGGCTCACGGGCTAGTCTGGTGATGTTGACCGCTGAGAAAGTATGTCTTCAATTTCCTGTCAAGGGCCGAATCAGTCTGGCATTGAATTGGTCGACAAAAACAGCTATTCAAGTCATATTCACTGGAGTATACCATCCTTGTATCCCTGGTGTCAGCATCTTGGATATCCGGTGCAATTGACACTGTCCTTGTTGACACCGTGGTGGGTGAGGAGCAGGGATGCAAATATTGAGGTTGCTGTGACTGTGTACAGGACACTTAACTCTTGTCGAGGCATTGTTTGTGACAGGGCTCGTTGCCTGTCCGACATGTCTGGATGAAATTACTACGGAGTTGACGGATCAAGGAGTAACTGCAGTCAAACGTTTCACTATAAAGAAAGTTGGTCTGTGCGTTCGTCCCTTCCTGATTCAATCAAAGCAAGATATGTTATTATCGGATTGGAGGTGTATGTCCCCACTACACTCAGATGTTACAAATGTCAAAAGTTTGGCCATGGTTCAAACTCATGTCGGAACTCTCCTGTGTGTCATCGTTGTGGCTGGCTGCCAGATGGACTTCAAATGCTGCAATTGTAGTGGCACAGATGCTGCATCTTCTAAGACTTACCTAGTGTGGCAAACAGGATCACAAATCATGAAAATATAGTGTCAAAAGAATATATCTTACCTGAAGGCAAAGAAACTGTTTAAAACTCAAACACCTCCATTGTCTAAAACCTACTCTGTTGCAGTCTCCCGATCCGTGGTAACATCATCTGTATTGGGTCAGACTGATTTGACATGGGTTAAGTCAGAAAAACCCGTCTTTTCATCCAAACAACCTACTGCCCTAGTAATTATCCAGAATTCATTTAGACCTCTATATATGGAGGTGACTCTGTCCCTACAGGAAAGGCGAAGGAGAAGTAGTTCATCCTCCCATTTACGAGAAAGATCGCCAATTGAGCCACCATGACTCAATTGGCTAATATAATTCAGTGGAACTGCAGAGGACTTAAAAATAACTTCAACGAAATACAATAACTAATTCAAGATTATCCACTGTCCCCAAGAAACATATCTAAAACATACACCTGTGGGGTCGGGGTTAGAATTGATCTTCAGTAACCCATGCTTGTAAGAGGTGACTAACGGGATCGGGTGGTCAGGTTCGCTGACTTGGTTGACACATGTCATCGGTTCCCAATTGCTCAGATCGATGCTCATGTTGTTTATCACTGGACTGTCTGGTCCAGACTCGATAATTTACAGACAGTCGCCATATAGCTGGAATATTGCTAAGTGTGGCGTAAAACTAAACTCACTCACTCACTCTAAAATACAGATAACTTTGATTTACGACAGTACAGTGATTACCACTCCTTCTCTACTCCAGGAGGTAGAGCCACAAGAGGTGCTTCAATTTTTGTGCGGCAGGGTGTCATTCATAGCCCTGTCCCGCAAATCTTCAGACTGTTGCTGTTCGTTTAACTCTGCACAGCTCAGACTCTGTGCAGCTTGTATATTTATCCTTCGTCTAATATTCGACAATCTGATCTTCAAAATCTGTATGTTCAGCTTCCAAAGCCATGTGTTTACACACTTTTTGAATCGTAGATTATTTGTTGTTTTATTAAGGCTAAATATCAGTACAATCGCCAATGGCTGAAGGGATGGTATAAATCCAGCTAGGGTCCTTCTTCCGACATTCGACAATCGGATCTTCAAAATCTGTATGATCAGCCTCCAAAGCCGTTTCTTCCTCAACGGACATAGTGCGGAGTGCCCATACTAAAAATAAAGGTGAAATCATCGAGGAATTCATTTCCGATAATAATTTATGTATTTTCAATAGTGATTCAGCCACATATTTACATCCAGCTACGGGAACATGTTTTTGCCTGGATCTATCACTTGCTGACTCCGTTTTATATAATGAATTTGAATGGGTGGTCCATGATGACCTATGTGGGAGTGATCACTTCCCCACCATTCTCAAAACAATAAACCCTGCTGATGGTCCACCTTTACCAAGAAGGAACTTCCCCAGGGCCGATTGGTCGTTGTATAAAACATTATGTACTGAACACTTAAAACATAGTGTTTATGCGAATAGCGAAGATCCTATACAATTGTTCTCAGATATACTCAATGACATTGCTGACCACACTATACCCAAGTCTTCAGCAGTTCCACATATTCCTAAACCATGGTTCAATGAGGAATGTAAACAGGCCAGAAAGTTTAGGAAGAAAGCCGAAAAGTATTTTTTTTTCGACGACACCCTACTGTGCATAAATGCTAAGGCTAGACGCGGATTTAACCAGAATAAGCGTCAGTCTTGGCGAAATTATGTCTCCAAGTTAAATTCGCGCACACCTATTTCAAGGTGTGGGGGCAGTGGGGTAGCCTAGTGGTTAAAGCGTTGGCTCGTCACGCCGAAGACCCGGGTTCGATTCCCACATGGGTACAGTGTACAGTGTGTGAAGCCCATTTCTGGTGTCCCCCCGACATGATGTAGCGGGAATATTGCTAAAAGCGGCGTAAAACCAAACTCAGTCAGTCAGTCAAAGGTGTGGAACATGATACAAAGAATTAAAGTTGAAGGTATTAAATCTACTGTACTACATCTGAAGGATGGTGAGAATTTGTTGACGGATAAGGCTGATATTGTCAAAACATTCTTCTTAGTCAAATTACGTCCCTGAATTTCAACAATACCAGAAACAACAGGAGAAGAAGAGAATAAATTTTAATTCGGATAATGGCGAAGACTATAATGAATTATTTTCATTACATGAGCTATATACCGCCCTTGAGCAAGCTCTTGATGCATCAACAGCTGCTGGTGATATTCATTATCAGCTCCTGAAGAATTTGCCCGAATCATGTCTGGAAACGCTGCTAAATATATGTGATATGATATGGACCACAGGGAATTTCCCAATTTCGTGGTGTAATGCCATTGTAGTCCCTATTCCAAAGCCTGGCCGGGATCATACAGATCCGTCGAATTACAGAGCAATCTCTTTAACGAGTTGTGTCTGTAAAACCATGGAACGAATGGTAAATTATAGATTAATATGGTCTCTTGAAACCAATAACCTTATAACAAATATTAAATATGGGTTCAGGGAAAATCGTAGTCCCATTGATCATTTGGTACGTTTAGAATCCTTTGTTAAAAATGCTATAGTGAATAAGCAACATGCAGTATCAATATTCTTTGATCTTGAGAAAGCATACGATACCACCCGGAAGCATGGCATTTTAAAGGATTTACATGATTTTGGTTTGAGGCGTCGTTTCCCTCTTTTTATATCACAGTTTTTAACCGACAGCCAACAGTTTATCGAAGTTTATAAATGATTCAATCGATGGATCACTTTTTGTGGATGATTTTAATATTTTTTGTCGCGGTGAAAATATGCAACGGCAACTGCAGTTGTGTTTAAATGAACGGCAACTGCAGTTGTGTTTAAATGCAATAAACAAATTGTGTCTTGAAAACTGGTGTCAAAAACTAATTGTCTACACTTTTGTAGAAAATATAAGCCGCATACGGACCAGAAC